CCCTACCTACCTTCTAAAAATCAAGTGGATACTATTTTGGAAATAGATCTTTTGGCAAAAGGAGAATCTCCGTCATATACAAACTGATACAGAGCTTAAGGCCTATTACTTGGGAAAAAATAATTGGGAAAAAGACATTGTGGTGGATTTATCTGATGATGAGTGGAGATCTTGCTTGAATCGTATACATATTTCCTCCCTTTGCATTCGCCATGGTTTAACTCAGTTTAACATTGTTCATCGTCTTCATTATACAGGAGAGAGGCTTTCAAAATTTTTCCCAGAAGCCGATCCTGCCTGTCCCAGGTGTGGACATAATCTAGCAAATGAGGGTCACATGATGTGGTCTTGTCCTAATCTGGACAATTACTGGGGAAAATTCAGTGCTTGATTTCCACATTGGCATTTTTGGAGTTATGCCACCTCAATACGAAATTAGTCAGTCTCAGGAAAATGCCATAGCATTTGCTACATTGCTTGCCCGTAGACTGATTTAGACCGCTACAGCATGCTGCTACATGTTTTAACCTGTTTGGGTGCCGAAAGAAGACTGCACATTTATGTGTAAACACATCACAGATCCTTTCATAGTCATTAAGGACACAAGAAATTATGATAGTAAGAAAACTTTGAGTATTTTTTCAGCATAGATTTGCATTAATGTGAACCTTCAACTAAAAAAATGCACTGTGAGGATCAAAAAACAACTATTTAAAGCTCAGTCTGAGACCAACATCGGCTGACTAATGGACATTTGGGCAGTTTTGTCGTTGCTACTCCATCAGGTCTTTTTGTTAAAGTTCTGTGAGTGGCCTGTAGCTTCAGTTCACACACCCAAACCACAGCATCCACTGTCTCTTGGTTTTTCTTTCTCTTTCATAAGGCACAGGACAAGGTCAGGCTCTGCTCCACCCATTACAGTAGCACAGGAACATGACACTCTACACGCACGCACACACATACACAGGTACACACACACATCTCATTTTACTTGTCCTTTCACAAAGCCTCGTGGGAAGAGTGACATCATCCCTTTCTTTCTTCACAGATGTCAATCAAAGTAGATAATGAGGTCACAGGGTTAAACCCCTCCCATTTAAGAGAGCCTCTACAAGTGTGTTGAAACGAGTGCCTGAAATGAGTTCAGTATCAGGTAACACACAGCAGCGACAGTTCATACCTAAACCTCCTTGGGTGACTTGGAACAGATGCAACAGTAGAGCGAAGCAGCTCAAGGCTATGCTCGTGTGAGCTGAGGACTCGCTTGTCAAACAGTAGCTGTTGCATTTGAACAAATATCTGGGAGAAAGCAATTTTTTTCCAAGGGACAACCTTTTACAATTTAATAAAAGGTTGTCCTCAAAGTGAACTCCCAGTGAGGAGACTTTGTTGACACTAAAGTGAATGAAAATAACTTCAAAGAGCAGCAACAAAGTGCTGCACAGTATTAGGATATTAATAGAGTGAATAAAAAAGATCTAGTTTTTTGGACTTGAACAAGAGCCACACTTGTTAAAAATAACAGTAATAGTATATGAACAGGAAACAACTTCCATCTGAATTTTGTAAGACTGAGTTGGCCAAAATAATCAGCAACTGAGAGAACAAAAAAAGGCTGAAAAGTCTCGATATCTTATAGTAAAATTGAATTTAATTACTGCCTGGTTGCCTGTCGGATCCAACTGTTAAGCACACAATATAGAACTATAGCATCACTATTTATATTCTAGTCAAAGTCAGTACATGTGTGAACATTTATCTAGTACAAACTAATAGTTATGAGAGCTGAACAGCCAAATCCTACACATAGTCAGCAGGTGTTCTTTGTAATATAGATAACACAGTTTGTAACGCTCAATGCAGTGGCATATAACCTTCATAACAAGCAGGCGAGACACAGTGAAAGATTCTGATTTAGTTATTTATTTATTTGTTTGTTTGTTTATTAATTTTTGTTATCTACAACCTAACCTCTGGGCAGGGATAGCTCAGTAGGTAGAGTGGTGGCCCCATGATCGGAAGGTCGGGGGTTCGACTCCACTGAACGGCTACCCTGAGGTACCCCTGAGCAAGGTACCGTCCCTACACGCTGCTCCCCGGGCGCTGCACTGGTGGCTGCCCACTGCTTCACTGGGTGAATGGGTTAAATGCAGAGGAACTATTTCCCTATGGGGACTAACACGCACACTTTACTTTTACACTGGACTGAACTTAGTAAAAGTTTCTATAATATTTAATTTCTATATAATAGTTTCTTGTCATTTGTCATGAATAGAACTGAGTAGATGTGTGTGAAAGGCTTCTTGGAAAGACTGAAAACCTGGGTGTAAAAATGAGTACAGCACAGAACTGTTGTGTTTTTAACAGATTTGATAGTTGTGTGACTAATTTGTGCCTTCCTGGAATAGGCACTTTGTCACACAGAAGAAGTGTTTTAAGAACATAACTGGACCTTAGCCCGTCTCTAGTTCCCGCCTCTGTGTGTGAATCTGCATACTTCAGCCAGGGGAACAAATTCAAATTCCTTCAAACCAGCTTGTTTACATATTTCACTCAAGATGTCTTTTTCAGTTTCATACGTATTTGTGATGACTAGAACCGAAGCCTCCAGCCCCCCGTGGCTCTGTGAATTGGCTCGTTGCACGCATCTATCTTCCAAACAAAATAATTAGTTTGTTAATGAAATTGATAAGTTACACTCTGTTCCTAAGATGTTCTTTGATGTTTTTAAAGGTTTGACTTCTTTATGTCAGCAGTTCCTTTATGTGCTGTTTTCTCTTTTGTTTTCCAGAGACCTGAATGGAAACAACCTGACAGTCATCACCAAGACAGACTTCTCGGGTCTCAAACACCTCCGAGTCCTGTGAGTTATATCTGCCTTTACTCTTATAGATATATTTTATGGGTTACAATTAAAGCATTCATCCCATCCAGAGTGGCTTTCACACCATTTCCTTCTCTACTTTCATTGCCTTCAGGCTCATTGTTGACAGGGCAACAGCTTGTATTTATTACGACATTCTTTCCCACATTTCTGTCCTTGTTTGAGGTCGGAAGCATAGCTGTGGTGCCACGTAAAGCTGACATAAGGTGCTTGTCTGGTGTCAGTTTCTACAAGGAGAGTTTATCTATGACCCTTTGACGTGGAAGCACTGTGCCCTTGGGGAGAAACTGCATGAGCAGTAATTTCCTGTGTTAACTTGAGGACTAGAACTGCAATGAGTGTCAGTGATGGACATGATGACATGTCCCGGACTGATTATATCTCTGGAGACCTGATCAGAACAGATTAGCAGCCCACTGGGAGCCCTGGGCGTACTGCTGTCAGGAGGGTAAAGTGTTACAGCAGTAGGGATGGGTATCGTTTAGGTTTAATCCGATACCAGTACCAAACCGGTACTTTTGAAACGGTGCCGGTGCTTAAACGGTGCTCAAACCGGTGCTTAAAGAATGGAGAACACAAAATTGGTCCAAAAACCTCTCATGTTCAGCTGTTTTTTTGTGTGTTAGCTTACACACGAACAACATTAAGCTACTCACGCAGAGAAGAACGGCGGCTGCTGCCATCATCATCCATCATCATTTCTGCTACACTGGCAGGGCTGGGGGCCAGGACTCTCCTCTTCGGGTTCTTGGGGGATGTTGTTAACTCCGGGTCCGATAACAGGCATCACCCCGCAGTAGATGTGCTCGGTGTGAGGTCTTGCAGCAAGCTATCAATACAGCGCATTTCTCGGCTTTTAACAAAATGCTATACGTCGCCAGGTGTTTCATCAGATTCGAGGTGTTACCTCTTTTGCACAGTATCAGCTTGTTGCAGGCTGCTGAGTTTGCATCTTTTACTGTGAAGTACAGCCAGACTTTTGACCGCTTTGCCCCGGGCATTTTTAATCTGTAGCTCTGCTCTAATAGAACGTATGTACCTGGACCCGCCTACTATGCTTGCAAAGGTAAAATGATTGGCTAGAATCCAAAGTGTATGACAAAAAAGCACCGAAATAAAGCACCAAAATGTGGTCTGGTCACTACCGTTTATGTCAGAACCGGTGCCATAATGGTACCGGATACCGTTACCCATCCCTATACAGCAGTGGTATATGAGGTGGAAGACGGCAGTATGTTTCTCAAATATACAGATTCAAGTGCAGACAGATTCAAAACCAGTGTCTGAAACCAAAGCCTCATCCACATATTCAGCTGCTGACAAATAAAACTCTATTTTCATGTACATGTTATTTTTTACCCAAATTCATCAACACACTCATAATTAAAGATTAAGTTAAACAAAGGCAGAACATATCCTTGTAGAAAAACTACTGTATTTTCACAATACTCAGACTGAGATCGACCAAACAAGACTCATGTTTCACGAGGAAGGATTAAAGCGTGTTACCAATTTATCAAATAGAAAACTGACTGTGTTATTTAATATCTCTTGATTTGTTTTTAAAGTATGTGCTTAAACAGTGAATCTTAATGTGAGTGTTTCCTTGCAGTCATCTGATGGAAAACCAGATCAGTAACATTGAGAAGGGAGTGTTTGATGAGCTGAAGGAGCTGGAAAGACTGTGAGAACACATTACAAAGACATTTACAAGTATAAACCAAATTAATTTTCCATGCAAGTGTTTTCTTTCACAGGAAATGATAGCTTTTTTCGTTTGTCTTTTTTTTGTCCACACAGTCGCCTGAACAAAAACCGTCTCAGCCAGCTTCCAGAGCTGCTCTTTCAGAAGAATGAAGCCCTGTCTCGACTGTGAGTACAAACTCCAGAGCTCTGCAAATTTTCTCTCCATACCCTGCACCCTCTATTTGAAATCTCAGGACTTTGCTCTCCTTAGCTCAATGTCTCTGTCCTACACAATGCACTTTAGGGTTTTTGCACAGTCCCATATTCAACTGATTAGAATGTGTTTATCTTGGCCATCAGGTATGTCCGCCATGTTCACACATGTACATGGTCCATAAGTACTGGCTCATACTTGTCTACCACCCTATAGCAGCATCCAGTGTCTATCTCCATCTAAGTAGTTCTGTCGGTCTTACTTGGAGAATATCGAACACTTACAAATTGCAGAGTTCCCTGAACTGGCAGCTCTTCTTATCGACAGGGAAGGTCATAATAGGTCTTAAACATTTAGGATTTTTAAAACAAGCAGAAGTGGTCATTGGGGTATTTTTCCGCACTATCATGTGCATTCAGAACCTATTAAGCTGAAATAGTCTGGATTTCTTTCAGATACACACTTAATTTGCATCTGTTAAAAGTGTGGTTCATTGAGCTCTAATCGCTCTGCTTGTTTGTTTTCATTATTTTATTTTTCACTCTTCTTCTTTTGCTTTGATGGTCCTGGTTGCTTTTGTGATGTGTGTATGTATGATTGGATTTGAGCGAGTGTATGTTTAAAGGTGATCTGTTGTGATTTTCCATATTTTCTTTCACAAATATACCGTTATCTAATGGATGCCCAAATTTCAGAAAATGAGGTCAGCACATGTGAATCAAAGGTCAGGGTTCAGACTGCAATAAATCCACTGATTCTTGGCTCTGTTTGATATCAAAGATAGGTCATCTCTGTAGCCCCACGAACCTTCTCTTCTGTTCTTTTGTTTGCATTGAAGCCATCAATGAGGAAAAGATTTTTCTAAAGCGAGGCAAGCTAAATCACAGAGAGAGTGAACTGGGTGAAATCAGCTCATCAGTAAAAAGAATCAGTATAAGATTATTATGAATTGTGAATCATGCAAAGTTACTCTATCGTAATCCAAGAATAAAAATCTGGAGCTAAAAATAATAAATATTTTCCCCTACATTTGTGGATAATGGATTATGTCTGCAGGTCTTGTTACGTCAACCCAGTTAAAAAGAATATATCCAGCCTTCATCCCTCCAGGCTGTTGTTTTAAATTTGTCTGTACATTAGCTAATACACAGATGTCTTGAATGTGGATATATTTTTGGATTATAGTGATCAACTACAATAGTCTAACATTGAAAATTTCTGCTACTCCAAGCTGTTTAGTCACTGACTTTTCTGATAAAAACAATTGACCTATTTTTCCTCACCCAGAAAACACTGCAAATAACCTCCCTCTAGACAGCAGAGGCACTGCAAATAACTTACAGGCTCCCACAGGAGCTGTAGGAACTGTCTAGCTTTAATTCAACATTTGAACACACGCATAAAGAGCTTATTTTAATAACTGAAAGCTTGGACACAGTTGGTTACTGTGTGGATAAATGTGACTCTCTCTCTCTCACACACACACACACACCTCAGACGCTTTTGTTATAAATGCGTGGTTGTAGTGTGAGATGGGGAAGGTATCTGCTACTGCCTGGAGATGCCTGGAAACACATACACAAACATTACTGCAGAGAAAGAGGAAAAAGCAAATATAGGAGCTCTCTAATTAAGTTTTTCCTAATGATTGATCTGTTCGTGACAGTGATGTGCTTTGGTACCTGTGTCTGCATGTTTGAGTGCGGTGATTTAGTGCTTAACAGAAAATGTGCTGATACAAAGAGATTTACTTTTCCCCCGAGTAAAGACGGAAGTGGACTGAAGGGGGTAGCAGCCATGAAAAATACCAGTAATTACAGAAAAAAGTGGAGACAAACAATGTGTGTGTGTGTGTGTGTGTGTGTGTGTGTCAAAGGGAGGAATAAAGAGAAAGTATAAGACGAGTAGATGGTAAAAGACAGTGTGTGTTTGTTTCAATCCGTGTGTCTGTTCTGATTATTTGCTGCTTTCTGTTTTGGCAATTTCACACTCTAGCTCCCATTAGGACGTGCCGAGATGGACTTGGCATGTTCGATCAATCAGCAAACACACACACACACGCACACACAGTGACACACTCATAGCACAGAGCCATTAGCACTTCCTCTAGCAGGAGCGATTTCTTTTCCTCCTGCTGTGATGATGGACTGTATAAAGCCTGATGTCCCTGGGAAACACACACTCATGGCTTTTTGCTTGTGTGCATTTTTGTCTCTTCAACAAAATTGCCTTCCATACTTTAGCCTATTTCCTGTATATTCCCCTCTCCATGTATCAGTCTGTCCTCTTCTTGTAGATTGTGATACACTGTCTTCTTTTTAAACTGAGCTTTTACTGGCTAAATATATAGGTTTATTCATTTGCAAAGAACTGAACAGTGTGTAAAGACTAATACATACATACATAAAATCTTTTCATTTAATTAATTTCCACGTCATTGAGTGAAATAAGTATTTGATCCCAACTATTCTAGACTGTCCATCACCATGAATAAGACCAAAGAGCTTTTAAAGGATGCCAAGGACAAGACTGTAGTAACAAGCTTGGTGAGGAGGTGAAAACTGTTGATGTGATTATTCAGAAATAGAAGAAATATAAAATGACCATCAATCCAGTCTGGAGGTCCATACAAGATTTTGCCACATGGGGTGAGAATGATCATGAAAAAGGTGGAGGATCAGCCCAAAAATACATGGGGGAGCTTGTTAATGACCAGCAGGTAGTTGGGACCACAGTCACATTGGTAATACACCATGTTGTAACAGAGGTGTGGACTCACTCGAGTCACATGACTTAGACTCGAGTCAGACTCGAGTCATTAATTTTATGACTTTAGACTTGACTTGAAAAAATGTTCTAAGACTGTGACTTGACTTGGACTTTTACACCAATGACCTGGGACTTGAATTGGACTTGAACCGGTTTACTTGAAAAGACTTGATATTTCACCCCATCTCTAAAATTTAACACACATATTATATAGAAAATGTGCACCATTAATTCAATTCATTCATTCATTTATTCCAACCACACTCCGTACGTATGTGTGCATGAGCTGTAGCACAGCCAATCAAATTAACCAGATTTTTTTTTTAAGAAGAAAAAAAAAACGCTCAAAAATGCTGCAAGGAGTTATTTTTTTCAGATACAAAAACTATGAAATAGTCAACAAAAAACGAAATGCAATATGCAAAACATGCAAGCAGAGAATCACAGACAGAGATGGAACAACTTCCAACTTTGTCCGACAGTTGAAGTTGCATAAAGAACGGTAGGTTCTCTTTTGCTACGATGAGATAGCTGACTTCATCTAACTAGCAAATGTTGTCCAGGCTACGTTGATGATACTGTTTGGTTTTAATGTGTATGATATTTTTGTCATGCTATTTTAAAGCCGGTCCTACAAGCGCATCCAAGAATAACATGCAGTTTATCTCAGAATTGTCGGTGAAAATTATTCTTGGAGCTAGGTTTAATTGAGCTGCATTTTATAGAGGTGCAATTTCACAATTTGTGTATATTTTCTAAGTTCACTATTTCGTCATGTGTTGGGAAAAACAGATTTAAAATCACATGGTCTAATATTTATATTTACATATAACTGCAACTTTTTTTTTGTTGTTTTTGTTTTTTAAAGACTCGAAAGGACTTGAAATTCAAAGTTTCAGACTTGTGACTTTACTCAGACTTTTACACCAGTGACTTGAGACTTGACTCTGACTTGGCTGACATTACTTGAGACTTGACTTGTGACTTGAGGATAAAGACTTGAGACTTGCAAAACAATGACTTGGTCCCACCTCTGTGAACAACTAAGGAGAGATTTTAATGTCAGTTGAAGATGCTGCTCGGTTTTCCTCTCCTCTGTCCATACCTCTGTATTATTGTTCCATCTTCTTTCTTTTCTCAATTTTGGCGACTTTCATTTTTCATTCTTTCTGTCTCCCCTCAGTCTTTTGTTGGCTCTGTGTGGATGGGATCGCTCCACACCCAGTAATAGTCCTTTGTGTGTTTTGATGATACCTGGAGGGTGACTGAATGTGTATGTTCGTGCACCAGGGTGCCCCCTCCCAGCACCTCCCTTTAGCCCAGGGGAGCTAAAGAATTATGGGTGTAACTAGGTGTCTCTCTCACCCACGCACACAAATTCACCTTGACCTGAAAATGAACTGTGTGGTTAGCCAGTCAATACTGGGCTCCTGCAGGTCTTATTGGGTACTTGAAACAGTACTCAGTAAAATGTAACCCAATGATTTTGAGCTGGACAGTGCACAGGCAAATTCTTATCTGAACTTGATCCCATTTGAGATAGGAGAGAAATTCCTGTTCACAAATATCTCTTTATGGCATCATTAGCATCTTGCTATTATTTTATGCAAGACACATGTAAGACCACAGAGGAAATGGCATCAACTGGAGCACTGACCACTAGCACTGTAAAAAAAAATGTGTGCGGGGGTCAGGGAAAAAACACTAAATGTGAACATTTTGTCCCTCATTTCTAATGTTATTATAATTTGTCATATGAAATACACCTTTATCTGGAATATGCACATAGATTATTTCTAAAGATTGATATGGATGGTCTCAAAGTGTAACCCTCACCTAAGAGCCTGGCTCCGACCACTGCATAACTTTCAAATATGCTCAAAGGTTTAAAAGAGGTTAAGTAAGGAAATTCTGAGAATGAGACATAGATGATGCAGGAGTTGTTCAGTGATCTTTAGGCCCATTTAAAATTGAAGAACAATACAGAATAGCAAGTGTTAGCTAGAGGACAATGGTCATCAACTGTAGCTGCTGGCTTTAGTACCCAAACCATGTTGTCTTTTTCTCTCCCTGATGGCCTGTCCTGCCATCTGGAACTGTGCTGATAGATAGATGGGTGTGAAGAGAAATAATGCAGATTGGCTATAATTCCATTGATGTCAATATTAATGAACCATTGTTTCATTTCTTCTTCTTCTTTTTT